CCCTGCACGCTGTCCCTGCACGCTGCCCTGCACGTCGCCCTGCACGCTGCCCCTGCACGCTGTCCCTGCACGCTGCCCTGCACACTGTCCCTGCACGCTGCCCCTGCACACCGCCCTGGGCACTATCCCTGCGTGCCGCACCGCATGCGATCTCTGCGTGCTGCCCTGCTCGTTATCCCTCCGCGCTACAGGAGCGCGGCCTCCACCTTGCGCCTGTGCCTTGGGCGCAGGGTGTGCAGGTGAACGTTTTATCGGCACAGCTGCGGTGTTAAAGGCTGCTCTTTCATACCAATATCCGTATACAGATTAAGGAAAAACAACAACAACAACAAAGAAACACATAAGCTGATACCCATATTAAACGCAGCCTCTGAACTAGGGAAACCCAGGGCGAAGCGACTGGGAGTCCAGGCCCGCTAGGGAACGGTTAGAGGGAGGTGCTATTTCTTGCCCGTCTCAGACGCTTCGGAGGTTTCAGTCTCCGGCGGAGCAGCCGGGATCCTTGGATGCCAGCTGCTGGCAGACGCCGCGTAGGACTGCGGCGGTGCGTGCCCGCCGGAGCGCGCCTTTCCTCCGGAAGGGTGCTGGTCATTTACCCTGCTGCGTGCGGAACAAGTAGAGGCAAGTTCACCCGATAAAAGGCGCATTTACCTAGAGAAGGCAACGGGAGCGGAGGGCAGAGCCGTCGCTGCCTCCCCGGGGGGTTCTGCACGCTCCCTGCAGGGAGGAACCTGCGGGCCGCAGGGATCACGTTGGGGCCTAAAGAGGTCTTACGCGAGAGACGGGGGCACCCGCTTTAAGGCACACCGTCGTTTGAGGATGCGTGTTATTACCAGGAGAAATCCTAGGAGAAATCAGAGCCCTGCAGCAATCTGCTAGCCTTGACTATAAGCTCTGTAAAAAAAAACAAAAAGCCAAACAATTCCTTACAAGAGCCAAGTGCATCTCCAGCACAAACGATACACCACTGCATTAACGACCCAGAGCTTCCGAAAAAAAAGATGCTTAGGTTGTGCCAGGCAATAGGCCTGTCCCAGTCAGTATGGTCTTCTCTGTATTTTGCGGCCCGGGTCTGCAAACGTGACATTTATCAGCAGGGCCAGCTCAGGCGCTTTGAGGGTCTGCCGTGATGCTGCAGACCCTGCCCACGAGCGAGACGATTCCAGCTCATCGGAGAGGACGTAGGTGTTGACAATTAAGCATCGCGCGTACACAGGGGTAGGATCAGACCTCCGGCCTGTAAACTTCTCAAAGCAGAGATTGTCGTTCATGCGGGTGCTTAATAAATTTGGTAATCATCGCCACAAAAATGAAAGCGATGTCTTTGTCCTTGCAGATGAGGTGAAAGCGAACAGAACCGGCATAAATAACGGGGAGTGAATCAGATGGTTAACTCTCTTTTTGCTCTGAAGATCTCAGGTGTGATCTGCCAAACAAAGGGGGAGAATCACATACGCTTTTCAGTCTGTGCCATCACTGACCCTCTGTCTAAGGCAACAGACATAATTAGAGCTTGC